TTTAATAGTTTTTTTTTTCAATTGTAGATGAATACAATACCTTTATTTATTTATTTATTTTATGTGGTGCCGAGGATCGAACCCAGTTCCTTACGCATGCAAGCAAGGGCTCTACCACTGAGCTACAGCCCCAGCCCTCGGGTTCCATTTTTCTAACATCAATTTCTGCTGCACCATGTTATCGAGGGTGCTGCAGATGCCTGGGAGGTTAGGTTGAACCTATGCTAGGTCCTGATTTATCTGGAAACTCTATGACCTTTTTAAACATACAGCTCATCTGGGACTGTTTTTCTCTCACCTTTACCCTAAAATGGAGGTGAGGAAATAATTCTCACGAGTTGAATGCTTACACAACTATTGCATGTTCTCAGTAACAAATGGAATCTAGGTTTGGGAACTAAACAGAATCACATCCGTTCAACAACTTACTAGTGTTGTCAGTTTGGGGAAATGAGCTCACCTTTTTTGAACATTGTGTCTTTGTCTGTAGGAATGAAATAAAAACCACTTCTTCATAAGAGAGAACTATTCACAAGACACTTTATGTCTTGAGATGGGAAGCTTGCAGAGGGCATCCTGACTGACCCCCAGATGGTTTTTCTCAACCACTTGGAGATGGATCTACTGATATCTACAAGACAGGGGAAGGAGGAGCAGAGCAGGGAGAGAAGTAGGTTTCCAGTTTGCTTCCGCCTTTTGGCAGAGCCTAAAACTGAGCTCCTGCATCAGAACTTGATCTTCAGTTTTGTAGCCTGTCAAGTGAATCTCCCTCTCAGTTCAGATTCCTCTTGCTCTCTGTGGGCTCCAACTGAGAGTGTCCACGCAGTTCAGAGTTGAGGGTCACAGCCCCCATCAGATGCAACCCGTGCTGCAGTCTCCCAGTCCAGAGCTCTCTGCACAATGTCCCACAGCCTCTCTCGGCAGAACCAAGCCTTCATTCCGTCTTAATGAATTTACAAAAGCATCTTTCAGATTTCCAAAACATCCACAGGTTCTGGTAATGTGGAGAAATAACAGATAATAATGACAAATTAGGATCGGTTGAAACAAAAATAAGAACGTGCAGGTGGTCCTTTTATATCTTGCCTTTAAGGAAGCCAGAAACTTTCACTACCTCCCTTCAAAGAAGCACAATGGACAAGAGTTGAAACAATTTTATTAAAGCAGAATAAGACTCAGAAAAGTTTTTATGATATTGGAGGTTAATACCAAAGCATCAATTTCAACTTTGGTGGCTTTGTCTCCTCAAATGTGCTATGTAGAGGTCACTCCTTAATGGACTTTCTTACCCAAAATAGTTCTATAGGAAAAGGAATGAATGGTGTTGTGTGTAAAATGTGATTTGATCACAAAACCTGATTGCCATTTTTAAAATGTGGACAACTTAATAAACTGCAAACACTGCAGCCATGCAGGGAAGCTTCTGGTTGCATACTAGGACCTTGGAAAGACAAGAAAATAAGCTGTCCTTTCTTTCAAATGACACACCTTGGAACCAAAGAGCAAAAGGAGGATGACTCTATAGAGATGGAGAACTGCACCAGGGTAAAAGAATTTGTTTTCCTTGGCCTCTCCCAGAATCAAGACGTGAGCTTTGTCTTGTTCCTTTTCCTACTTCTGGTGTACCTGACGACTCTGGTGGGAAACCTTCTCATCATGGTCACTGTGACCTGGGAGTCACGCCTTCACACCCCCATGTATTTTTTGCTCCGTAATTTGTCGATTGCCGACATCTGCTTTTCCTCCATCACAGCTCCCAAGGTGCTGGTGGACCTTCTCTCTGACAAGAAGACCATCTCCTTCAATGGCTGCCTCACTCAGATGTTCTTCTTCCACCTTATTGGGGGGGTGGATGTA